GAAAGGGGGGGGGGGGGGGGGGCGAACGATGTAATATATATTGCAATGATCAATAAATACCTCCTGTTCTTCGTTTACTTTTATAGCCTCTCGATGCAACTAGAATTTTTTTTTTTTAAGTCCCGTGCATCGCTGAAATATTTCTCAGATAAGATATAAATTTAAACAAAAAATATAAAATGATATAAATATAAATTGATATATCAACAATAAATTATTCTGTAAAAGTTTGCACATGATACTTTTTTATTCGAATATATTTCCTTATTTTGACAATTATCGCAAACAGGAATTATAGGAATTACATGTAAAGAAAAATATATGCAATTTCTCACACGTTCCCAAAGCACACATTCGATAGGGTATTATTGAAAGTTCGCTGAGAACTCCGGTACTTTGACTTACGGGCAGCATCTGTCGTTTCTCAACAGCCTTCCGGCTGGAGCAGCAACCGAGGAGAATGCGACTCTGCTCGCGTTCTATATGTAGGACACCTGAAAAGTTCCCTGGACAAAGTATAAGCCCTTGACGCTAATATAGATCTATGCTTCCTATAGGCGAAGAGATGCAAAAGAGCAGAGGTCAAAGTTATTAAAGGGAGTGTAAGTAGGGAGATAAAATTGCGTTCGTAAAAACTTTCGGAATCTTTGCAGTTTCTTCATCACACTGTCCTCGGGACTCTTTAAATGCTCTTCGCGTCAGTTTCGCGAATTTATTGATTTAAGACTCGTTAAGATCCATTTCATTATCCATTACAATATTACGTCTTTATACGTAATAACGAATTTTATCGTCAATAGTAAATAGACGCGCGTATATATACGCGTATTCATTAATTTCGCTCCGCCGTTAATTTCGCGATTCAAACGATTATGCCGAGAGATAATTCATATTGATAATTGGTAGTAACAAACAATAATGTTCGTAATCTGCGGAGGGCAATAGAGCCGGTAGCAATACCATTTGAAATTCTACCAATTTCGTGTGTATGCAAACCGATTCCTAAAACGAGAGTGCTATGTAATTGCGTCAGCTTGTTTCAAAGGCCTGGCCGTCATTTACGAAAACCAGGCTTGTGCACGTTCCCCACGTACTTCGTTCGTATTATGCTCGGGCATGATTCCAGGGCTGGTCCTTCCCAAGTGCTTTGATAGAAGCTGCACGCGGAGCGGATGCTACTTGATTTTGAAGGGCGATCCAAGCGAAGACGTTATTCTACATATAGAGAATTGTTGTCTGACAAACCCGTCGCGGTCCTTTTTTCGTTATTTTTTTGCAAACATTTACGTTTCTCTCATCCATCAGGTGGTTGCTGGCAATAAAGAAAAATCAGTTCTTTTGTTCTGTGACAGTCTCGTAAAACTATTTCCTTTGAAGAGCGATGCTTTATTCAAGAAAGCGGAAACTCTCTCCTCCGGACGAGACTTTGGATTCAGTTGATTTAGTTTTAGTTTTATTTCGAGCGATCAAAGGAAAAGATTTGAGAAAGCAACGTTACCGCGACTACACATCTTCTATCTTAAAAATTATAGTTTAACAATATAATATAAATAATAAACTTACATTTTCTTAATCGTAAAAAATCTTTGTATTTTTCTGCGAAATATTTATGTGTAAAACAGATAATGCTCGATATGAAATATCGAATTATTCTTAGCAATTCAACAAATGTGTTGTATTATAGATGATATTTTCTATCGATTAATATTATTATTAAGAAGTAATTTGTGACGCACGTGATAGAATTTCGAATGGGCCGCATATTTTCTGTCAAGACAGAATCACGCGAATTGTTACGCGAATATTACGTGCCGTACATCAGTCTGTGACGTCGTCAGTGACTTATCGGATTGACTTGTACGAGCCTGATATCGATCTTGTGCTCTCCAAGTATCGGGACGTCGACGTTGATGATGATGCCAGTGTGTGTCATCGTCGTTGCTGTCGTATTGCGCTGCGTACTCGGCGTCGTGATAAAGTAATTTGAATTAATTGGCCCCTAATTAATTAATGCAAATCACCGAAGCGATTTACCAAATTAAGGATCGTTTACGTCCGAACGAGTAGCACCAGACTCTCTCGAATTGTCGGGCAGACAGGCAAGGAATCTCTCCTTCCTTTTTTTTTTTTCAAAGATTTTCGTGCGAAATGTTCGGTGTGGACGAAGGGGATAGCTGGCGGGCGAAGAGACCGCGACGACGGAAAGGGGTTGAGCTCTTGACATATTGCTACCTAGGCAACTCAACGAAGTGCTCTTCAAGTTCTTCTTGTCTGCATCTACCCTTACTACCGCTTCTTCTCTCGTCCGGCTTTTTCCTTTCCCCTCGTCGCTCTCTTCTCGCGGCGGAAGAAAACGAGCTGTCAGTCCGCATCGCGGTATCGCCGGTGTTGCAAGTACTTCGGCAGGGTTTGCTCAAGTACAATTGTCGCACGTGCGATTCTATTCAACGCATCGGAAAATTCGTTCTGTGGTTTGAGGCAACGAGCGAAGTAATAATCTCGAGTGCGCACGTACGCGACTTATTCGTTTTCTTCCGCCGTTCATCGCACTTATCCTTCGCTTTCGGTTACGTTCTTTGGAATTTTCCCTTCTGATTCTAGAACGTTAAATTTACCATCCCGTTGTGGAAAGACATTGAAAGCTTTCCAATAATTTTTAAAGAAACATTTAACGAAACGTGCGAATCAGGCTGAGAAACGTGTTCGAGTGTTCAAACGTTTCCGCGTTCTTTCGAAGGAACGGGATGTAGCTCTGTAATGAATTTATGATGGGTGTGTGTGTAAATAATATAATTTTTATTTGGAAAAGGTAGTTTCAGTTATAGAGCTCTCGTACAAATCATATATTTTTTATATATTTTTATTCAATAATTTTATTAAGTAGCCAATCTTTATTAACGGGCCGCGGAGTATTGGTAGTTTTTGATGATATTATTATACTTAGAATTAAATATAAAAAGCGTGATTTATAGAATTATTTTTATAATAATGAAACAATGAATACAAGAGCTATATGTATCTATTAATTTTTTGTTATGATAATTTTTGAAAAACGCTCACGCTATACGGATGTAACGGAATGCATATATTTATAATTAATCGTAAATTATTTGTTTGAAAATTTATGAGATTATAAAATATTTTGCAAGAATATTTATGGGGGGCTATGCATATTTTTTCGCACAGGCATGCTCAGATATGCAAAAAAAATTCGATAAGCATAAACTATAGTCACTCTTAGTAGCAAAAGAGTCAAAATTATATATCGCAGGCGTGCTACAACAAAAGTTACATGTTCTTTTAATGCAGAGATTTGATTCATATATATACGATTTCAAAAAAGAAAGGAAAAGCGGGGTTTACGATATCAAATCGTGCCAGCACGCAGCGTTCAGACGAACAAGTAGGTTGACAAGCACTTAGGTAGATTACTTTTTCTTTGCTCTCAAAAAGGGTTTTTATCGTCAAACTATAATAAAGTTTCTTGACGTTGATTTGCGTTTGCAATTCGGATTCTTATAACAATAATTAAAGTTTTCGCCTTTGCGCGTATGTGTATAAGTATGTGGGATTCCTTCTTTTCAAAGAAACTTCCGATTTTGCGTTATTTGGAAATGTTACTGATTCTATCGTGATTTTCTCAATGTAACGTAGAAGTGGGCAGCAAAGTGTTATCGATGAGAGTTTGCATAGGCATTGTTTTGTAGTTTGCTGCTAAACGCTCCATCCATCACTCTCTATCTTGATGAAATATTCTACTAGTTCCTATTCACACTGTATAAACTGCCTGATTCGAGCGGTAGTTTGCTAATTGTGAACCCTCATTATATCCGATACACAACACTTGTGAATAAGAATACTTTCTGTATGTAATTTATTGAATCTTATGTTGAGAGTCTCATATGGTACAAGCTTATATTAAACTGTGCGATTTCTATTTCGTATATAATTATATTAGAATTGATTATAAAGCATCTTTTTCATTTTGTAGATTTATTTTACTATTAATAATGGAATAAATTAAATATAATGACTTTTGTCTTTCTGGAAATTTTAAGAAAAAAATTATTTATATTCATCAATACACGAAGCTGAAAATTAGAATATTATAAAAAAAGTTGTGCAATGTATTATGTTATTATCATAAATTATATACACCGTATGTACATATGAATATATATTGTGAAATAAATTTGTAAATCTGGAAGTGTAAAGTATAATTTTAAGATTACTTTATTCGATTATTATAGCGCAAATTTTAATGTTAAAAAAAAAACAAATAAGTAAACAGTGTTAAAGCGTTTATAATTATAATATAAATATAAGGAATTATATAGAGAATTGCGATTCGCCCTCTAATTGTCCACGTGTATATACGTATTCTACAATACAGATTTCTTTCTGTTACGCTTTTGCTTGGGATCTGCTCAATTTAATTTAACGTTGCTCAGATCCGCGTGGATTTGCATAAGAATATAGCCCGAGGCAATGGCCCGGTCCGAAGACTTCGTTAAAGAGGAATTTACAATTTCTCTCTGCCTCTGTAAAGCCGGTGAGATATCAGACTCTCCGTAGCGGACTTGCGAATATACAATTGTTCTAAATACTCGTACTTGCTCGGTCTAGAGAGCGTCGTATATTTTCAACTACGTTTATACACGGATTGTCTTCGTCGTGCAAAAACAACGCGCTCGAAACCAAGATACGTCGTTTGGATTAATGCTGGTCCGGAGATTTTACGTGTCTTTCGCTTCTATAATCAATCTCGTGCCGTTTTATATATTCCAATTAACTTGGACTAACCGGCCGACTTCCTATAGGTAATTTCCTATTAATATCCTCGTCGCGCACGCGGTGACCTGGATCGATAAAGTTTCAAGATACTTTCGCCTTGTGAATATAAAATTTCGCGCGTTCGTTAATTGACGACATATAAAGAGTACTGTCCAACTATATTGCCCTTCTAAGCGCACTTTGCCCAGAAATATATTTTTGCACAAAGAAAACGTAGAAAAATTGTGCCTATCACAATTTTTCATCTCTCAATACAGGACATCATTTTTTTCTGATTGCAGGTGATATGGGTGTGCATACTTTGCCGAAAGAAGCAGGAACTTCTTTCGAAGACCGGACAATGGATGTCGAAGGCGAGCCTCAGCACCGTGGACAGCGCGCTGCTGCGACAAATGCAGGAGGACTTGCAGGTGGGTGGTCGTCAGGGACTCGCGGACCAAACTCGGGATAAAAGACCGAAACTCGAGAGGGCGCACAGCGCGGCTGAGAAAGAGAATTTGCCGTTATTACAGAGAAGCGGAAACTGTCCTCTCAGGAGACAGTACTCCCAGCAAGAGCAGGTAACGTTCCCCTCGCTCGCCTGATATTCTTGTCGGAACGCACTCTCTTATTTACGAAGCCAGACACTTTTGCGCACGTATCTTGCGGATGCTCCTACACTTCATAAATATGTAGAGTTATATCGCGATAAGTTTGCAATATATTTTTCGCATTTGTGTGGTGCTTTATTTATTTATATGTGAGCGGAAAAAGAGATCGAAGCACGCGTTTCCGCGTTATAGCTAAAAGAGAGATCAGCCCGCGCCCTCGTCAAGTGTTATATCGCGGAGCGCGATCGGTGAATTTAAGTTTTGTGGTTGCAGATCTCGGGTCGTCGTATGTCCACGAGCGACAGTGGGGTGGAAATGTCCGTTTCGCCACACGCGAGAAGTTTACCGACACCCCACGTGGTTGGTTCTTACCCGATGCAACAAACTCCGAGACACCCTGCAGTCTATCCCGACGACGATCCCAATTTATACCGAGGCGAACTCGATGGTCTGATGAGACAACATCCACAGCAGAACTATCAGAGGCAACGGTCGACCTATCAAGTAAGGAAACCGATAATTTCGAGTCGATTTTTGCCGAGAAAATTACGAAAGTCACAAGTTTGTAACTATATTAAATATGACGTACTAATTTTACATTGTAAGCCTGCACACATATTCAGTTTTTGATAAAGTATAAATATATAAATCAATAAAATAGAGGAACAGTGTGTCATTTATCGTATGTGTTTACCTGGTACAAAAATAATTTAGATCTCTTTATAGATAAAAGTGTTATACAATAAATTAATTAAGGGTTATATTAAGTACATTAATTTTTTTTTTGTTCCGCAAAATTTACTATTATATCACTCTTTTACCTGGATTAATTATAACAACGATCGTTTTTAAAATCTCGGTTCAAAATAATTTGTAATCAAAGTAATTTTGTAACTCGTCAATTATTTTACGCAATGCAGGATCAGAGTGCGGATCTCGGGATGACTTATGGCCAGACACCGATGGAGACTGGTTCCGTTCGTTCCATAGTACATCCCTCTCAACAGCATTCGATGCATCAAACACAGAGCGGACGTTCCGCGCAATCTGCGTCAACGGTGGGCGTTCAGCAACAAAGAAGTTTCAGTAGCAGCGAAGAGGAACGAAGCACACCGGAGTGCGCCAGTGACGAGCCGGACGAGTCGGAGAAAGGTAAGTGAATCCTCCAACTCGATATTTATTCCTAGTGTACAACGCTCGATGCCGATCGAGCAAATTTATATTATACGCGAAATAAGAGAGAAATTTACAAGATTTTTTATTCGATTAATATATATATATATATATGTTATTTTTGCGGTATAAATTTTATTTAGATTCTTTAAAAAAAAAAAATTAACTCTTTAGAAAGAATCAAAGAATCTTTAAAAATATATACTTCTAATATATATTTCTATAGTTTGGTACAAAATTGAAATAATTTTAGTTTAAAAATCATAAAGACAATACGCATTTTTTTATTGCGCGAATTTAATTCAGTTTTTTAATTGTGCGTGATGTATAATATGATAATACCACATATTCATGTAAAATTTTTTATATCGGATATTTCTTTTTATCCACTTGCTATATTAACTTTTTGATTAGTTGATGTAAAATTTATATACGTGTATGTATCGTAATAATCTATTGCCGCGTAAAATTTATGGCACATCTTGCAAAATATGCTATCAGTAGAATTTAAAATGGCCTAATCGCCTGCCAAATTTATTCTATAAGTGTGTAATGAAAATATTAGGGTGAGCTGAGAATTGGTAGGGTCGACTCTCTGCCTTTGAAAGCCGATGCACGAGGAAAGTTCAATCTTTCCGTGTTAATGGGTATTTGGTTTACAATGAACACGAGGAGAACAACTCATGCCACTTGCAGAAGGAAAGTGTAATCGATCAATCCAATGCTCATTTGATCACAATAATGCGTGCATAGATATAAAATATCAATCAATTACACGCATTATATTAAGTGTGATTTGATGCAATTACATTGGTCTAGTATTTATATAGATACAGAAAAGCTACGATTACATATATATGTAACTCTTTTTTGATAATTTTTATTTAAATTTTGTTTTAAAATAAAGAAAGGATATTCTATACATACGGACATATTTATTGTAATAAAATACGCAAGATTACACGCAAGATTGATGAAGGAAGAGAGAGAGATTTGTTCTTTTTTTAATTGATTGCCAAAAAGCAGTTTGTAAATTTCACGCGCGCGTTCTCGATGATATTTAGCCGCCGCGTTTGTTTTTGTGTAACGTCACGTCTGGTTCGAAAAATCGGTCGAAGGTGAGAGAACGGCGTGTATATATGCGGTTCACAGTTGATTAAACGCGGGATCGGCGAACTGTGAACCGACTCATCCAGGTGTCGTGTGTAACTCTCGCAGAGTACAGGAATAACTTGTATTCTCTCTCTCTTTTTGTCCACCTATTGTGTACTATTTTTTTTACAACAAAGGTCGGACACGTCGAGTTTCTGCGTCGATCGCATGGCAATGAACATTAAAATCCGACATGTCAAATTTCATATCGGCGTTTTGAATCATCATATTAATAATCGCCATAACGCGAAGATGGATGGTTGAATGCGTGCCTTAAATTTTCCATGAAAAATGCGTTACAAAATTTCTCCCAAAAAGCATCGAACGATCGCGTTAGGTAAGACGCATGTAGCTCTTACGTCAATTCGTGCGTTGTGACGCTTTGTAAACGCAAAATCGAGATGAGAGGAGAGGGAAAGATCACGATGAATAATACGGTTGCATTTAATAATTTCTACGAGAATGCATTGTAACGCACGTGAAATGCCACGTTATATAACTTGATGCGCATGTATCGATTTTATAATGGCCAGCGCGCTCGTGTTGTGTTCCTCCAGTTTTCTAACAATCCTTGCCGCCGTATAATATCGACTGGATTTGACACGCGTGTATCGTCGATCGCGAGAGAAAGAGAAAAAAGGGAGATGAGGAGCAAGAGGGAAAGCGAGAGGAAGGGGACGTCCGTGAGAGAGTTATCCGCGCCACGTTCGTTAAATCCACGATCGCAACTCTACGATCGCGTATCGCGCGTCCGCTTATCGCAGCTAGTATCCTGCGGGAATTCTCAGGTTCTGTCCTCCCGGTCTCGCCGTTGCATTGATCCTCGGCATCCTCCCTCGTCCCTCTTTCTCCCTTTTCGCTCATCCTTCGCCGACCCTCTCTCTTGCTCATTTATCTCTTTCTCTCTTTCGCTTATCGCGGTCTTCCTACATTTCCACCCCGTCCCTCTTCTTCCTTCTTGTTGCCTCCTGCTCGCGACGCCCACACGCCGGGCATGACGTCACGCGACCAACACGTGGGCGAATTCAAACATCTGCCCTCTTCTTCATTTCTAGATAGTCTTCGACCCCTATCCAAGTCGGGATTGGGTGGCCAAAAAAATGTCGTCGGCTCAAAGGCTCAGAGTTACTTTCTCTTTTGGGGCATATTCCATCGAATGATTATCTTGGAAATCATTCTCCCTTCCGGAGCGCGCGTCAATTTACGAGTGCACTTTTGACCCTTTTCGCCTCGTTGGCTCGATCTCTCGCTAGTATGTCTCTTTCCTTTTCAAAAAACAATATTTTATTATTTTGTTTTTCAGGTATATACTCTCGTATTATACTACGTTTTTGTCCTTTGTTAATGAATGAAAGGGTTAGTAAATTTAATGTTTTTCCAGCATCGCTTTTCACGTTAATTCAACTGTAACTCTAAACAAGTATAACAACGCGAGTTTATTTTCTTTTGAAAAATAAAAAGCGTTGTTGACGAAACGAGGTTACGAAATGTCATCGGGAGCACAATGAAGATCACGTAAACCTACACCCGGTTGCGCGCCACCCTTCCATGCGGCTCGTTACTTATGAACGGAGGTTGAAAACTTTGACATTTTCCCTTTCCCCTGGGAACGATGAAAGAACTGCGTATCGTATACGATCACGCTTTTCGAGTCTACCGATGGGGGCACCGACGCGTGTTATGTATTCTCTCGCGACGCATTTTACAGGGATTCGAGAGTTTCTAAGCTAATTCATCCACATGTCAATTATTTTCGCGATTGTAATCACCCCATGATAAACGAGAAAAATACTTGAGGTATCTCGAGTTGAAATTTTGCTTTTATTTTTAACTTTAATTTTTTCACGTTTATAGATTCTAGAGTATTTCGATAAGCTTAATTTATATAAAAATTAAACTCCTTTACTTTATACTTTAAATAGGCAGTAAACGAACAGTTTTCCACTTATTGTTAGAGGTTTAAAAGAGGGATTTTTGACAAAATCATAGGTTAAATAGTTTAACGAAAGGACAATCTGACATCTTAAAGTATCAAAGTAGATGTTAGATTAAAAATTAAGATCGGGAATAAGGGAGAAATTTCGATTCGAGCAGTTAGTTATGTTAACATCTGCAATGTTTTCACCAATACCGATAGTTTTTTTTGTGTTTTTTGTATTTACGGTACAATTCAGGTCGAATCTTTTCTTGAGAACGGAGCGAGGAGGGGAGTTAGGCAGGCTCATATAAATTTAATCCGAAGACATTGCAATTTGACGGTCGGACGAGCAGGGCTTTGGTGCTGTATAAATTTTTTACCATGGAGTTCTTGCTTTCTTCTCATAAATCTGGTGCCGCGCGTGCATCGAAATTAGCTTTCGTGTTTTACGTAGGAACCAAAGCGTATCTATTATATATCGCGGAGAAACAGATGCTGGGACAGTAAGAGGGAAAATTCGTTTAATTTTGTACTGTAATAATTTTAGTATGCTGTGTATACACGACACTCTATTTAAAATATGTCGAATGCACGGTAAGCGCATATTTTTTTTTTTTATTAATTTATAGGATAGAAAAACGTTCGTCTCTAACTGTCTAATCTTTGACATCAATATCTCAAATTATGGATACGAAAATTTTTTTCAAGATTTTATTGCTTGCTAATAAATAAAAATAATAAAATTGACTCCATGAGAAATCTCTCAGTATTTAAAGGTAACGATTTACGTAGTTACTAACTTATCCAACAAAAATATGTGGGCAGTCTTATGCGACATATACGCGTCTACCATATATCCGGCGATGTAAATAGTTAAATCAACCCTTGTTAGATTTTACAGAGTAGCAGCTTTAATCCCACTCTATACTTCTCTTCATATATTTATTCCTCCACATTTATTCCTGTATGTCAGAGGGTTTTATAACTACTTATCTATGTCGCTATTTCCACTTGATTACTGTATTGATGCGCGATAGCCTGAGATAAAACACGGAGGCCAGAATCAAGCGTCGCCACTCTGCGGAGACTGGTGACTACGTTAGTATACGTATCAAAGACACGCATCGTGCCATCTTGTGTGACGCACGGCCTCTGCCTGTGCTCTTCAATAAAAATGCTAATAATAGCGATAATGCAGACCCATATATACGCGACAGAGTTCTTCATTCGTCTCGTATTTTTTCTTCTCTATATATTTTTTTTTTATGTCAAGTAGCAAACGGTATACTTCGCAAAAAAAAATCTCAATGACTATGTTAAATATCTTCATTATTATGAAGATACTATTTTATTTGAACGAAATGCAAGAAATGCAAAATGATACAATGAAAAACGTGCATTGGATGATCGATTGCACATCTGTCAAGCTGCAAGATCAATGGTCGATTTTGATGCAAATTAATCTTGATTTAATTGATTATTTGTCCCTTTTCAGTTTTGATTTTAATGAATCGGGCTGAGTTAAACTAAAAGAATTGAAAAGCGTACGAGATAAAACAAGGTGCACACACATAACTGAGCGTACTTTGTTAAATGATCTGACGAACGGAGACGATTATTGCGACAAAATCATAAGTTTGAGGGCCGAGTAATAATGAATAATCGTGTGTGAGAATCATCTTCTAAACGAGCGCGAGAGAAGCGACGGCCTAGCCTGACGGTTGTTGTTGCTCCCATTCGTAGATGCACAATACAATTAGAGAATAGAGATTTAGTTTGTGTGTGTATGTAGCAACGAGAGAGAGAGAGAGAGAGAAAGAGAGAAATTGTGTGTTTATATATTATACTCAGGCAATTGCTTGTCTTTGATATCTGGAGAACCTGGGTTATGTGAAAAAGACACGAGTCTCCGAAATAGACACAGGAAAAGAAGGGGAAAATATTTGCGGGACAAATAAATTAATTAATTAGGAGAGAGATGTTTGCTGCACGGTTGATGCATCTGTCGGTAATTCACTTCGCTTAGCAGTTTCCTCTCAGCAACTTCTTTTCCACCGTGTATACGTTGCATTTTTCAGCCGCGGAATTAATATTAAGAGAAGATTCTCTCCGTTTCTTCGCGCCGTTTATCGGCAAGCGAATCCAGATTAAATAATCCGTTCCTGACATCCGACTGATAGTGTAATTCGACAAAACGGATAATACGCTTATAAAATCATAGTAATATTTAGAGAAAAAAAAAAAATCTCGCTCGTTTATCGATTACGCTATCTCATGGACTGAGATAGCGAGCGAAGGAGGTACTCGGCATTTCGAGTTTACCCAATTTCGTTATCGCGGTAATGAGTCTTCGTAGGCGCGTTTTTATCCATGCTCATCGCGCGCTTGCGCTTCTGAACTTCCGGTAAGCTCAGCGAAAAATTTTTTTCACGAGAAATAGGAGCGCGTAAACGAGATACCAACGACGACGCGAAAGTGGGCGTAAGGTGGCGCCGGGAATAGGACGGTAAAATCTCAGAGTGATTTATACGGCGGTGAGTCGTGGTGTCATCTAACTTTGTCTTCTTTCCCGCGCGCGCTGTAAGGACATCTGTTCGCGTTCGCCCTTCTCTATTTATTATCCGCGTGAGCGTCCATCTCGTCGTGCGAGAAAATACCATGTTCGCGTCATCAGGTACCTACGGATGCATGACTCTCTCTCTCTCTTTCTCTCTCTCTCTCTCTCCATTCCGCCTACTTCAATGTAGATCGTTGGAAAACCATTGTAGAAAAGAATGGAGACTATATAATTGATTAATAAAAGTGTTATCTCTAAAATATAATCTATTGAAGTTTATATTTAAATCGGGCACGAACTTATGCAATCACCTGATATTATCCGCGTGAGCGTCCATCTCGTCGTGCGAGAAAATACCACGTTCGCGTCATCAGGTACCTACGGATGCATGACTCTCTCTCTCTCCATTCCGCCTACTTCAAAAAACGCGCGATTTAAATGCCCATCGATTTCCATCGTCCCCAAGCTCTTTTTACGCATTACGTACGAGAACGCACGTCGTTACCTTGTGACGAGACGTGGGTCGCAATGTAAGAGAGAGGTTCCTCTTTTGCTTTGTCCCCGGATTTTTTTCGTAATTCTCATCTCGTGGACAATTCCCAAGCCAAAATTTTTCTACCTTCTATCTCAGTTTTCAACCTAATATTTACTTTTTGGTACTTTAATCATAGTCAGATCATTCTCTTTCGAAATTATTTACTTTATAGTTTTGTCAAAAGCTCTCCTCCTTTAAATCTCTGAGTGGAAATCTGCTCGTTTACTGTTTATTGAGGTACAAAATAGGGAAGGAGCTCAGTTTTTATATAAATTAATCTCTGTTATCGATATCCTCTAGAATCTATAAACGTGAGAAACTTGAGAGATTGAAAATAGAAACAAGATTTTGACTCGGGTTTCGTACGTACGCAATAACGGAAATCGAGTCTCTTGGACACAACCGAGCGTATCGATGTAACGTCATTCGCGGTTAAATCGGCTTCATTGTTAAATCGCGTATTCGATCGTCAATGGAGCGACTCTCTCCAGCAACGTAGCTATTGCTTTTATTGTCTTTCGTTACGTCGTAATATCAAGAGATCGCGCATTTTGACTTACGGATATCAAATGCACACCGCCGTGCAGAATATGGATATATAGATATCGTTGAATGATATAAGGATGCTCTCTCGTGGCGATCGTATAGCCAATTTGTTAGTTTTACGAGCTACACGAATCTTTATCGCGCTACGTATGGGCTGTATATTATACAGGATGTCCTAAAACTATCAGATATGTTTTTTTAAGAGCAGATTTTCTGACCAATATGGAGACGATTTTTTCTTAGCGAAAATGTTGAAACATTAACAATTTTTGAGTTATAAGCGATTGAAAAAGAAAAGCTTTTCGCAAATTAAACTTTGTGAAATTAAAAGGTGAAAACAAAATTGCATTCTTTACTTAATTTCAGGAATTTATTTAGTGAAAAATTGATTTTAATAGAATTTTAATTTGAAGCTTATTATTAGTTACAAAGATATGAAAAAAAAATTAGAAACTTGCAAAATATGATGACCTTTTTCGACAATTTTTCTAAGAAAAAATTATCTCTAAATTGGACAGAGAATCTATTATTAAACATTTGTTTGGGACATTCTGTATATGGTGCATTTGACGAATGCGCATATGACTAAGACTTCCTCTCCCCGAGAGAGAGATATAATCCTATATTTTTATAATTTCTTCGATCTAAAAATATTTGCATATGATTTTCGATCGTTGACATTTAATGTACGATAAGATTTAATTGTGCGTTTCTTCTAGTGAAAGAATTAAAGATAGATAATAACTTTTGCGCAACATCATCTGACGTCAAAGAATCGTTTGCGTTCGCTGTTTTCGCAGCGTGAGTGTACAAAATATATCATTCACTGTTAAAATTCAAAACCGCTTCGTCATTTTATTTTGCGTGATATTTTCAATCCACAGATGTTCAACGATTTTCAACTTGTTGTAGTGTTCTTTCGTATTTCAATTATTCAGTATCTCTGCGTTGTATATTTAAACACTGAGCACGAAATTCTGCATAGATATTTCTGTGTTCCTCTAATTACGTATCGTATTGTGGTACCTTATATAGAGTCAATCCATCTTCCCGACTAGGTGAATGAGAGACATCGCAACGCATTATCTCGCGATTAGCGATAAGTCAACAGTGTATTGTGTAATATATAGTTAAAGGGAGATCGGCTTTTAGGGCAAAAGCCGCCGCAGCTAGTGATGACTTCCAGGGGCTCGCGGGAAAAGATGGCAGACAGAATGAATCGGCAATTCCCCGCGGTACTTAATAACCTTATTACATAAAAATACAAAGCAAATATCTTTCGCTATATATACTATATATTATATATATATAATTGTATGTATACTTATATATACATATATAATACGTATATCTGTGCGTATGCGCGTGCATGTGTGTGTACGTATCTCTGCCGAACGGTTGCGCGTATCGAGTAACGAGAGTTTGCTTTTTTTTTTCCTTTCAAGTTTATTCAAGAATCACACATACACACGCGTATACATATAATTTTTTAAAATTTCGCCTAATTTAAATTCAAAATAAAGACTTATCGCGAAAACATACCGTCCGCGTGCTTAATTGCGTATGCTGGAGAATTCTTTTGTATTATCTCTCGCGTATATTTTTGCGAAACTCTCTCGGTCCGTTTTTGCGGCCTCGGGGCACACCCACGACGTTATAATATGAGAATAATGCGAGTACGTGCCAAAGCAAATTTTTCTACGGAGAAAATGCAATCTCTCTTGCCTGCTTGCGCGCGCGTAGCTCGCGAAATAAGCTCGCGTATCGCGTGACGCGACCGATCGGCACAGAATTGTAATAGATTTATTTGTTCTACTTTGGACGGCTATGAATCGTGCACACAGATATATTTTTATCCACACTCTACACCTCAAAAAAATACGTACATGTACAACACTTTTACAAATATTGCGCCTCTCGAAATATTTTTCTACTCGCTCGTTACATATTTAAATATCTGCATAAACTAGTAGGTACCTGCCATTGAGTACGGGGTAATAACGGCTATAGTAGTAATGTTATGTTCTTTATAAGATTTGGGAATTATTTTATATCTTATTTTTCTTTTGTATTTTTATATACCTGTTCTCTTTTTTTTTTTTTTAAATGTATATTAGAAACTTTAATACAATTTCTAAAACGCATTTTTTTATCACAATTTCCTGAATAACTGTAAAAGAGTATTGATGTTTATTTAATGGCGCATGCGGGACGTGATATCATACAGAGGCTAAAAATAAATCTGTATTTTTTTGTTCGTATTATAATTTTTCATGTTTTACGTCTCTGTCCAGTTTTGTGTAATACACAAATAAATATCTCTGTGTCTACCACTTACATCCTGTTGTCCCAGGAAAACAGAACGCGTCCCAATGCAGAATTTTAGATGGACAGATTGTAACTTATGCACGTTATACGCGCCCACATGTACACACACAACTACACAATCCCTGCATATTTTTACGTATAGTCGTCTCTCGCCAGTCGTGTACGCAAATTCAGAAATCGTATTACGATTCTACTTAATGCTTTCAGAAATCGTCTATCGCACATTTATCGCGGTCAAGCTTGCACCGCCGCCTTCATTTCATTTCTGTTAGGTATATCGCCAAATACACAAAACGCACACACCACGAAGCTGACACGCGAATCAGAGAGAGAAAAAGAGAGGAGCAGATGAACGTGAGACATCACAAGAAGGTGCATGATTCGAGAGATAAAAACAATGTCTCAAGATATGATAGACCTGTTTTCAACGCGATCGTCCCGAAAAACTTTAAAATTTAAGAAAAATCGTGTATACTAAGAAAGAAGACCGGCAGACTTCGCGAGAGAATATGCTTGTCGGAGATGAAGAGAGTATTTGTATTAGCTAAAATTAAGGATTTACGGTCAAAAGAGACTGTCAAAAGAGAGAGAGAGAGAGAGAGAGAGAGAGGAGAAAGAGAAAGAAGGGGAGAGAGAGGAAAAAAAACGAAAAAACGTTTTGGATCTACTATAGGGAAGGGGTACTACCACCACGCGGGAGGTCCGAAATCAATGTCCAGTGGTGGACGTAGGCACAACGGATCCCACAATGGGCACCACGGGTCGGGCGCGGGCACGGCCGTCGAGCATAACGGCCACCATCCACCGCGAGAGCCGCGAAAGGAAGAGAACACTCTCGTCAGACGGAGCTTCCGAAGATGCGGCGATGAATGGCGTTCCGACAGTAGGAGGTGCGTTTTTTTTACAGGAGATCGCGTGCGAGACCACTTTATTTTTTCGCTTTTTCATTGATGTTACAAACGCGTGACGGGAACCCGGTTAGTGCGACGGAAACATTTATTTATTTATTCGCGACGGGATAACGCGTCGCCGAAATCTCCGATTGCAGAAGTTTGAGTATCTCTTGGAGATAACGATTTTCGATCTGCGACATGGAAACAATATCTCAATTATTTATCGAGTATATATACGCAAAAAATATTCAGTATAAATAATAACTATATTTTTAGTTTAAGCCTAAAAAGCTATGATAAAAGTCACGGTTGAATTTATAGATACATTATTACTTGTTCTGTCGAAATTACAATGCAATTGTCGCGCGCTTTGTCTGCGAGAATTTGTTGAATTAGATAAATATAAATTGAATATGACGATTTTATTAATGGGGTTTTTAAAATATTGAGGAGTTTCTGTATTATATTTTTTATGATATTGCGTTAATCAAAGTTTTTGAAAACAAAAGATTAAAAGACATAATGCCTAGTATTAACAAAAATGCTGTTCTTGTCTCGGGTTCCTTCATAAAAAATTTTAAAAATTAAAATTTTATCCAAATTTAAGCTGCAATTATACATTGTATGTAAGCTTTCTGACAAAATTGAAAAACACTATTAGTTAAATTAATTGAAATATCTTGTGCTTTGATCCATCTCAATCAGAGAGCGATTCATATCTTGCAAAATTCCTCTATATTCTATAAGATATGAATTTCTATTAAATGTGTATACAAAATTGTTAAAAATGTAATTGATAAATGACTTGATTTTTAGTAGAATATTTTTTACATAATTAAAATGTTCCACATTGAAATATAAATTAAATATTTTAATTTAATGTTATAATTTTCTCCTCTAACTTTGATTCGGTGTAATATTCGAATAATTTAAAATATGCATATAGAACTCTTTTCGATGACAATTTTGTGACGACGGAAGATCGGATCCGGTTGGATTCATATTTAAGCTACATTTAAATGTGAAAGCAGCTTCTTGACCAACAAATGCGAAAAATATTGAACAAAAAGCCTCGAAGACAAAGCGTAAGGCAATATGTATTACATTCACAAGAACGAATATATGATTATTATCGAAATTTTTTTATCGATATTATGATGCGACCATGCGTTTCGTCTGAAAATTTTATAATAAATTAATGTAAACTGAGCAAGAAACTTTTACAATTGGAGATTTTCTTCGTTACACTTTATTTATATTTCATTAAAAACAAAATGTTCGCGAAAAACGAGAGATAGATATTTGAATCACACTTTGAACTCAAAGGCTCGGATCGAAATTCGCGAATCACGGCGCGGAAATAATATACACGATAAATAAAATGCAACACATGCACATCAACCACCTATCCGTCATCGTGTCTCTCTGTGTATATGGCGTGTCTATTAGGTTCACGGAGAGGAGGGGGAAAAAGACAGTGCGTTTTGACGGTGGGACCAATGTCGGCGGCCCTCAGGAAGAGGAATGGTCTTGGGAGGCCGATCGGCAGGGTAGCCAAGACAGCGCGACCAAAGACTCCGGGATAGACACTTCTAGCACGTTCACGAGCAGTGAAGACAGCAACAGGGGCGATCTGCCCAAGGTACGGGGCCGGGTTACGAGCGAGTAACGTCAGCGCCGGCTCGTAAGAACGCTAGAGAAACGCTTCTCGAGTTTGTAGCGAGTAGATCGCGGTCGATGGTGGTGTAGGGGCCTATGATAGGATAGGCAGAATCTAGGAATAAATCGCCGGTATTTTTCGCCGGTGGAGATCGAGTAAAAGGGGTTTTCCAGCGGTGCTTTTTTGTTTCATCGATCGATCGAGACCGCACGATACACACGGTATATACTTTTTATCGCGCGTTCACGCTACTTTTATAGACGCTAATCGCAGCGGATACATCAAAGCGGAATAACATCGTCCAAAGTGGAATACGGTTATTTTTCTTTTCGCTCCTCGCTTCGATAGCGTTAGCAAAGAGGCATTGGAGGGCTTACTGATTGATTGTAATTAACTTGCAGCACGTGTAATTAGTTATTACTTTCGGATTACAATGTGTGCCAGGAGAGCCAAAGTTGCAGGAAGGGAAAATTATGCCGAATTGATTGCTGAGAGATACCGATTTGGTGTGCGAGAATTACAGAGAGAGTCGTAATTAGAAAGTTATGCCTAAATATTTTTTTTTCTTCCCTTCACTTGGTGCAGACAGGAGAGAACCTCTTTTGCTCGATTAACCCTAAACTTCGTGCTTAAAGGCTTGTGTGCTTGTGTTCGTTTTGATCTCGAGGTTTATTTGTATGATTTATTTGTATCGGCTTCTTTTGTACAATTTACTAAACGTTGATATATGTATATAAAAAAAATTTTTGAGCTTATCTGAATCCCTGAAACTGAACTCACGGAATATCATTGATTTTCGATTCTCAAATTATCGATATGACATACAAATAATTATTTATCATTTCTAACAAAATCTTTTAATGGAATTTGTGAAAACTTACAGGATTATTTTGCTACTCATAGTACTCCGTGAATTCATAAGTTTTAAGTAGAGAGAAAATCGTCTTTTGAACTACAACTCTTTTGCGTCAGACTTTTTTCGATCCATTCCATTGTGCCTTTTCTAACTGAAATCTACTGTAATTTTCAAGAATTTTGCAACGTAGATTTAATAGACGACGAAAAGATTTATGTACTATTAAACAATGAATATAATTTTTGACATTCATTTCTCTTCTACGCCACTCTCAAGTTAAAGTACGTTCATCTAGTTGAACTTTTGTAAGTTATGACTAAAAAAATATATAAAGAGAATTGCAGATAATCGATTTGATATTAGAGGTCTGGATTCTTCTGCAAATAACAAGAACAGCATTTTGTTTTATATGAAATTATTTTATTAATTTTATTTAAGTTTAATCTGTGATTGCGCAATTTCACGGAAATAAAAAGGGTATTATACACGAAAGGATGAATAAATTTCTTAAGTAATAAAAATCGATAAAAAGAAATTATTACGGTTTGAGATTGTAGGTTATCGTTCCTATTCTTTGATGAAAAATACCAGTTAGTATGATTCAAGCAGTATCTATGTGAATTGAATCAAATTATATAATTGTCTACGAATACTTTTATGGGAACAAAGATTATTTGATTTAATGTTTATTTCTGTCGGACAATTTATAGCTACTGATCAATATTCTCAATTGTGTCTTCTAGTTATATTAATTGTAACGATAAGATTTGATTTTCAATTAGAGACAAATAAATAGCAAGGCTGAAAGTAAATTATCTAAATATATTAAGGATATCTCACACAGCGACTTACGCATTAAATAATTATTAAAAAAACAAATTTTACGACTGCAACTCTGACAGATGCCGCGATTTGAATAAAATTTATGTACGGATGGACGATGTGTACACGGCTCATCGTTCATGATGTACGAAGAAGGGTGATAGACATGCGGGTCGCGTTCCAATTATACGAAGCAAATAACCAGGATTAAATTCGCTGATAGTAAACGATCAGGTAATTTATTTAGCGACGACTTACGTACTATCTCTCTAAATGACTCTGATCGCGGTCAATCTTTCTCGCTCTTATTTCCCAAACGAGTCACGTTACTCCGCGTTACTTTCTTTCATTCTCGTGGACTAAAGTGGAAATCGCTTTCGCGAAAGTATAAGAAAAAGCGAGGAAATTAAATACCAATTGTATTCGCGTATTTCTACCGGCAAGCAAATCGGAATAGAAGAACTTGGCGAGATGCGGGGAATTAATTCACGCAATCAATAATCGTCTCGGCAGGTGAGGATTTATTTACGCGTATATAAGTGAATCGCGATGCGTTATCTCTTTGTCATCCCTCTATAACTTGGTAATCTGGAAAATTTGACTCGAAGCATCGCCGCACCGATCCAAAATGATCCAATTAAGGAACCGGTGAATGTTGCCAGGCTCTCGAAACAAAGTATCTGTTTCATAATTAATCAAATTGGAACGCGGCCAAAGGGTATAACAACACGGACGAGACTTGATGACCTCGTTAGTTGTCATCTCGATTTGAGCAAAGAATTTCTTTTTAATATCTCTTCTCTTAATTGTGAGGATTCCGGATGGTTAACTGTTATACAAATATATTGTAAAAGGTTTGTACGTTTAATCGGAAGCGAAGAATAACGTAATTACCGTCTGACATTCAATCCTGCCGATTCTGCGATTTCAATATATCTGGTGGAATTCCGACCTTTTTATGCAATTTGTATCATTAATATAAACACGAGCAAAAAAAGATCATTTTATTATAACGATACGTAATTTCAAACTTATTTCAGATGTTTTACTGGCGTAAAAGCAGAAATGGATTATAAAAATGTAAATCTATAAAAACATTTGTGCGTTTTTTTTTTGTATTATTTGGATCGATTCTTTTAATTTATCGCAATACATCTCAAACAAAATTAATCCGAATATTATTGCTACTGTAATTAAACACACTATGGTAAAAAAAAAAGAATGTTATCATTATGGATGGAAGTTTGATTTAAAATTCTGTCTTGCAAAACCTCGAACTTATGAATCGCGTATTGGTGATGGAACAGCTCCAGTCGATAGGACAGAAATCGAAAAGAGGCGACCCCTCTCCCTAAAGTAGATCCACCTTGTGTGAATCATGTCGTTCTCAGATAGAGATACATCACGCGCTCAGCATTTTTACGCAGTATTACGTATATTCGACGAGACCACGCAATGTTACTTGCATGCCTGTGTATACACTTTTTTCTGCATTTGCCTTCGGAGACTGGATATTCCGCTAGGCGCGGAATGTATTGCCAATATGGAATGTCTTATGTACACCGTAATATTTGCTAGTTACACGCATGTATCGCATGTAGTAGTATGTGATATTCGCTCTTATACATGCTACATATTACAACAGCACGTATTGCTTGCCACGTTAATTATTCTCCATCCAACTATTACAATGGTCAAATTTCTCGTCGAATCATGTAAATAGTGTTTGCTTTTTCATTGAGAGGATACGCGAAAGGCTTCGCGAAAAATAATGACGTATTTTTATTTTCGAAGAGCAACTCTCATCTCGGATAATTAGAGAATTTTTGTTCCCTTTATTTTAAATCGATCGCATTATATTATTGAACCTTTGATACAACTTGCCTAAGCGCATCCTCTCAAAAAAAATCTTTCACCAATTTGAAAAATGACATATCTTGCAGCCTTTTTTATGCTCAAATATTTTTGATAAAGGGTGAAAAATGTATTATTGCAAAACGCAATGTGCGTGTGTATGTGTACGTGATGAATAGTGAATTGCAGATACTCGCAAAGCATTTTTTGGTAGGATTAAGCTAATGTGTGTAGTATTTGTTTTTTATTTTAGTTGTGTCTTATCTGATAAATAGATCATTAATGTGGAAATACGTCAGAATACTGAAAATTGCCAAAATTATACGTATCTCATAAAAACGATAGGTCTCTGGATTATTTTGCAAACTATAATAAATTATTTTCAGTATGAGACCACTGTATATCTATATTAAGGGTTATCGATTACTAATCAAGATTGCGTAGAAAACATTTTAGTCTTTTCTAACAATTAAACATACAATTAAATCTCAGATTTCTCTCCAGAATTCAGACGTACGTTCCATGTTGTTTTTGGTTTACGAAAGCATGCGACACTCGTTATCAGTAAAAGAAATACTATACGCGCTCCGTAGCACCCATTGTCCTGGCAAGTGAGTGAGGACGGTCAGAAGATCATCGGCCACATGGTTTTGCGAAAATCGGCCGGTTCCGGAAGCTGCAGTAGTATACTCGGGCTAAAAGTTGTCGGTGGCAAGCTACTGGAAGACGGTTCCAGGGGCGCTTTGATCGAGAAGGTGAAAAAGGGTAGTACGGCAGACATAGAAGGTCAACTTAGACCCGGTAAGAGGATTACAAAGTTCAAATCAAACGATTTGGCGAATTTTCGAAATACGCGAGTCGCGGACAAATATTACCTGTAGGAATCGCGATTATCGCGCGCGAACGAAAATACACGTTACGAGATATCCTTGACGCTACGTTTTAAAGAAATTGCAATTTCGATAATTAATTGTTAGATATATATATTGAATCTCATTTGATAAAATTACGAGAAAACTGAAAAGAGTTTATCCTGTTTATTGAAAGAATCGGGGAAAAATTGATTATATTCGACTGCAACGTCAATGTAACGGAATTTTCCTTGTATCATATCGACGAAAGTTCTGCGCTCGCGTTACTTTGCGAATATTTCAATACTTTCAGTTTTGACATGTTGAGAGCGCACGACCCATAACAATCGCGTGTTTCCCATTTCAATTTCCGTGAAACATCCGTAGGAACGAATCGGACGCTCGACGATTTCTCGGGTATTCCCTGCGGCTGTTTCAGGTGACGAGGTGATCGCGTGGAACGGGAGGTCTCTGCAGGGTAAAAGCTTCCGGGAAGTTTACGACATCATCACCGAGTCGAGACTGGAGCCGCAAATCGAGCTCGTAGTTGAGAGAAAATTGTCCACGACGACCACAGGCATGTCGCCTGCTGGACCGGGCCCGTCGACGCCCATGGCGTCCAGACGAATTGTCGCTCAGAGCCAGTGGCGACAGAAACACGAGACCATCTCCGGATCACAGCCACATCACAAAGGTGACTATGCGCTCGGCACGTTTCGTTCTCCGATTCTTGATTTTGCTTCTGTGTATCAAATGTCGTGAATCTAGATTATTTCATTATGACCCATTATTTTCAAAACTTGAGATTTTTTTGTATATGATTCTAATATATATATATATATATATATATAGTATATATATACATATACATATACATATATAATCATTGATTTAAAATCTCTTCCTCCTACAATAGTCGTGCATGGGCTTAAGGGTGCCATACGTTACTTTGATAAACATTATGGGAAGTAAATCTTATGAATATTAATTATAGAAAGATGATATGAGATAGAATGTGTTTTTAGGCTCTTATTTCGTATAGAATATGTAAATTTAAACGTAGTATATATGCACAAGGAGCTATAGAAAAATATGTTAGGAAGATACGTTCGGCTCTGTATAAGCTGAATATAATTAGTTAGGAGTCAAAAGTATTCCTGGCATTATCTCGTACAAAGTCTTTTGGATAAATCAATGTATTTTGTATTATTTAATTTATGAATTCTTCTATATCTTTTTAAGATTTATACATATACATACACAGAATATATAAATAATAAGAAAGATTGCAAGCATATATTATGCCAGGAATAAAGTAGTACGCGTAATATCTGCGACGATTTAATCGGATAGATTATAAAAGGACTGAGAATTAATTATTCCGACTCGATGGAATATTTATCGATATCAATTAAATCCCATTAGACGTATTCTTTGAAATGACGCGAGATTACGAGGCGCTGCGCATCTCTCGCATACTCTGTGTTCCTCGCATAAGTGTATGTTAAGCATATTATTGGAATCGACACTATTGTCATACAGATTGTATGATTTTTCGCATTCCAGGTCTTAAGAAATGTATTCTATGGGGTAGGCCTTTCACAGACAAATCTCTGTCTTTAAACTATTTTAATTGATCTCGGTGTCTGTTTTTTTTCCTGTATATCGTTGGTCCCCTCGTCGTTGCGATTATTGTTCTGTTTCGTGAGATTTTCTTTTTAAATCTCAACAAACGGAATCGGAATTACATTATTTCGATGCTGCGACAAATCATATGGCGGAGCAACGAAAATTAATCAATCACTTATTCTGCCTTGAGTATATACCATCGATGTTTAACGTAGACGTAGATCGTAATGCTAATGCACCCCCTTCCCTTCGCTAAAGAGCACCGTTGTATAGGTATAGTCTTATGGGAGCAACAACTATATATTATATACATATATGCAAAATATAAAAGCGCCGATGTCCCATACATATCGTGCTTCTTCTCTACTTGTAACGAATATGAATATTTCCGTACAATCCTTACGAATAAGTATAATTTACTGTAATTCATCGCTACGTCTATTATCAATGTCTATCGATCTAACATTATTATTATAACAGCTCTCTCCCCTCTTTCATTTTCTTAACTCGTTGTCACGGATTTCCGTGATTACGAGAACCTGTGCATGCGGACTGCACTTCTTTAAGAGATGTGGGTGTGTTTCCAGAACTGTTCGGAAATAGTTTATTGATTTTGTAATATCCCCTTCCCCCTCAGGGGGTTCGATGACGCCGCAAGAGATAGAGAACTTGATTTTCGCGGCTATAATTTCACTAAAGTATCTACTATCGGCACAAATCTTTAAAATAGATGCCCAACAGATGTTCTAATCCTTCAAACGTATTTTGAATGTCTTACGTTTCGATTTTTTTCTGTGTTTGAGTATTTACTTAATATATCTCATAAACGTATATTCACGACATTTTCACTGCTAATAATGCAATGAATGTGTTGATGCAACAAGGGATGAAAAATTTATTTCTATTCACTCGAATCACCCTGATTTTTTACTTTTCCTCTTCTTTATTTATATATTTATTCATTTATATCGTTTTTAATTTTATTTTAATTTTATTTTTATTTGTCGTTCCCTTTCCTTTCAAATCTCGAGCACGCCCTCCCTCTTCGTGAATCGCTCCAAGATCGCAGGTACGGTAACGAGATATCCTAGTCGACACCGCACGATCACTTGCAGAGTTGTACGACGCGAGGCGTGAGAAACCCTCGGTTTTAGTGACGTCACCCGGCTCGCCGGACCTGCATGCCCAAGGACGCGGTCGACACTCCCGACATCCAACCGGAAATGCGAACGTGGGCGGCAGCATTCAGGTGAAGCTGGGTTTCGATCCTGTGGGACTTCAGCTGATCGTCACGATTATTTGTGCCGCGGGACTCACGCCGAAGAGCAACGGTCAACCGAGAAATCCTTACGCCAAAATCTTTCTGCTTCCTGACAAAAGGTGAGAAACAGAAATATATGTTAATTGTTTTGATCGATTGAGAATTTTTGAGAGATTCTCGACTGAATCGATCGTTATGGTATTAAATTATTATAAAAATGCAGATAAAGACAATAAAACAAATTGTTTGATGAATATTTTGTTTTTCGATCCATTGAAAATTTCGATTTAAATTCCACTCCAATTTTCAAATTTAATTACTGAACAATTATCCAATGGAGAGTTCTTAAAACTTATATGTATGTTCTTCAAATGTTATAGCGAGAAATCGAAGCGGCGTACGAAGACCGTGGCGAATACAAACGATCCTAGATGGAACCAGACTTTCGTTTATAACGGAGTTAGACGCTCGGAATTGAGGAAAAGGGCATTGGAGATTACGGTCTGGGACTACGCGAGGTACGAGGCAAACGATTTTCTTGGCGAGGCTGTCCTGGAATTGGCAGTATGTCTCTTAGACGAGGAACCAGAATGGCATTCTCTGACCGCTCACGGAGAACACCGGCACGTCAGGTATGAATCGCACTCGCGGATGCTAGTAGTTCCAAGATGCCAATACTAAAAGCGATCAAATAAATACCTTGCATCAATACGAATCTCCCGCGGGATGTTCGACAATGTTCTCAATGTTCCCTGCTTACGATGTGACATTACAGTAGCTTATTTCGCGAGTCCCAGAAATTTGCATGTCGAGACTCGAGAATGTCAGAAATTAATCCCGAAATTTTTTGATATTTTTATTTCTAAAGAGATTATGAACAAATTTAACATCGCGAGACTTACGTTAACATTATATTTTTCTGGATACTATAGGCATTACCAAGATTCTGATGACGTGCTAGATCATCATCTCAGTCCACCGTCGACCACTTCGAGATTAAGTGACTCCGACACCTCGGAGTGCGATATTACGGACTGCGACGTGTCGAGGGAACAAAGAAGAACGGCTGACGGTGCCAGCATAAGTAGTATCGGCAGTTCCTCTAGGTAATATTATCTCTTAAGATCTCTCTATGGTACATATATACATAAATCTCAGTCTGGCGAAAGAGTATTATATCAAGCCGCCGGAAATAATCGGTCAACTTTAGATTTTTGCGTTGAACACTCTGTAAATTTATCGTATATAAACCAAAATTCTTTTTAACAAGAAACACAAGATAATATATCAAGAAATAAATCTTTAAACAATTATATCGAAAATTGATTAGTTATAGTTATTTAAGTATGCATTACACTTAGCATACTTGACCGGTGGGAATTGTGTTAATCTGACAGCGTTACTGTCTCCCCCCCCCCCTTCCCCGGCTTAAAATCTTGTTTATAGATCTCGTAACCATTCTCATAGTTATTGCCGTAACAATCATTCTCGTGTTGCTTGTGCATCGCGACCCTTATCACTGATAATACAGAAGCATATTCGTTCCAAATTTGATGTAAAAAAATTCCGGCGCGAGAACTCTTTCCGTTATTAGTTTTCTTCTGTTATAACGAGGCTGAGTTGTGTCATTGAATAAGTGCTAGAATTTTTACAAAGCTACATTTGTATAAAGATGGAATTTTTACTGATTTTTTTTACTAGATTGCATTTTGAGCCACTTTTGTCAATAGTTATAAAGTTATTATATAATTACATAATAAATAATTGCAAATAGTTTTTTTAATGATTTGAAAGTGGCTGCAATTGTACAAGGTTCGACTTTCTTTCTTTTTTATACGATTAATGAAGCTAAGTAGAGAAGAGAAAAACAGACATAAGTCATAAATACGAATATACTGTATAATATAAATTATTGCGAACAAAAAAAAAAAAAAGACGGGGGTTGAACGGGAAGGGGTAATCGAAAGAAAGAGAGAGGGCAAAAGCCAAGTTATAAAACTGGGCAACAAGCCAATTGACATAGCAGTTGGCCCGCGACCATCGTCAGCTCCGGAAGTCAGCCTTAAAACTCGTATCCATATTAATATTCCAACGACGATGTCTGATCGTTATTTGTGAGTACAAAGTGTGGTTTTCGCCAAAGCTTTTAAGTCTCCACTCTCTTATCAAATAGAAGAAATGATAGTGCATATCGAAATGAAATAAAGTAGAAAATTATTTAACAATAAGGTTTTAATTATCTGTAATAATGAAATCATTTTCAAAATTGTACGGATATTAAATTTTTTTAAAAAAAGAAAATAGATATTTTTTTGCAATAAATTATTCATTTGCTGTAAATGCAAAACTTGTGTATATTGTATATCGGTGCAAGTATTCATCTCAATAATGACAAAGTTTGCCTAATAACGAAATTAAAATTTATGATATTAAATGTATTTGCGATGTTAATAATTATCGAATATTTGGCAAACAAATTTCTCGAATTTATGCCTATCTGTGTAACAACGTTTAGATTATTTTAAAGAGTGACTTCCTCATAAATTTTTTCGTCGATGATACGCAAGAAATCGAATCAATATAGCGGATCTAATGAAAACGTATGCTATCCTCGATAGGCTTGGCAAGTAGAGTGGCAGAGATGGGGATAAGCCGAGATACTATCCGGCATCGCTCTGCACTTCTTTTATACCGAACAGCTTCGATCTGCAAAGTGAGCGCTTCTATATCCCTAAGCGCGCATCAGCCTCTGTAAAAGCTGTCCCGAGTAATTGAAACATTCCGGTGTTCCCCTGAGAGAACGGCGGACATCCTGCGCATTTTTAACAACCTTCAGTATCGTCTAATGAGATTACTTGAAAGGGTTTCGCCGGTTACATTAATAATTCTTTCGTCGTCAAGTCGGTGACAATAATGCGATATGGACGATGCAATTCGATATAATATTTTCATTAAAATTCTATTCAGAAGCGCCCACACACATACATACACGCGCACACAAATTATTATATTTAATGACAAAGTAGAAGTAGCTCTTTTAATAGGCGGATACATGTACGAAAATTAATTGCAAAAGGAATTTACATTCGTAATTGTATATATCTTACATATTTTTTTTCTATCGCTTTTTTATGATCCTGTAAACATTGAGTAAGATATTATAGAGAAAAAGCACCAAAACCGAAATAGATCTCCTAAACTAATATAACTCATTAATTGAGTGGAACACTTTATCAGAGTTGATATGAATTTTGTTTGCTTACAGTTTACTCATTTGAAGTATATCCAATGCATTTATAATTCGTTTTTTATATACTGAATTAGCTTGTTTCGAGTTCTAAAAGTCCAAAAGTTTTTATCTTTCTGTGATTTTCTTTTGGCGAATTATGTAATCTAAATAATAATAGGTATATATATTTTCATAATTATGTTTATTATGTTTTTCTACTTTTTTAATGGTTTCTAAATCTGCTTTGTTTTTATATAATTTTATTTCTATTTTATTTTTATCTTTATCTTTTCTCACAGAGAATGCAGTAAGGAAAATTAAATTAGAGTTTTTCGACGTACTCTGTGGTTTATATATCGACATTTTACCAATTCAATTCAAAGAATATGAGTATGTAAATTGACTAATTTGATCACATTTAAAAGATTTTAATTTAAAGAGACAAAAGAAATGTCTGTGTATAATCTTAAAACGTTTATCTTTATAAATAAATAAAACAACAATGTAATTTATTTAAAATTAAGTGAAACTTTTTTTTTCAATTAAATAATTTATTATAATACTTTTTTGCATATTTTATCGTGTTTCTATAATTTTTAACAGATATGTCGGTTTTGGAGATTAATTTCTCACATTTTAATTTTTTTCCATTTTACAAAAAGGCCATTTATATTTAAAAGTTTAAAACGATATTATCAAAACTGATAAAGAATAGTTTTCAATAAATATCTGCTGGTATAAATTCTTATTTTGACTTTTTAACTAGAAGCTAGAGCCTGAAAAATGGCATGTCGGTTTTGGCAATTTTCTTCTACGTATATATATATATATATATACATAGTAATTTATATCATAGCACAATATTCTTTGAATAGACAAATATATGTTTTAAATATTAAAGTACAATCTATGGCGAGATAAGAAACATTAAATACAATGATGCGTTGGCCGCGGCCGCGCCCGCTCATTGATTTTAATTTTAATCGTGTGCTTTGTTATTTATTTTTTAGGTTTCATAATATGCCGTCAAATTATAAGCGGTACGGCCATTACAATTTATATTTTTTCCTCCTTCATTACGCAGTCACACGTCTTGCATCCTCACTGCTAGGTTACAATGTCGCGCTTAGATCAGTCAATTAGTCATGCGACAAGAAAAAGAATCGGAAGTATAATAAAGACGAGACAACGGGACAACGCGAACTGACGCGATCACGTAACTAATTTGATCTTAACGAGAACATGAGAAATTTTTATTCGGTAGGGATATATTTCTAAGGACAGATAGAGGGGGGTGGGGGGAGCAGAAAAAAGTGTTTTCGGGCAAAGAAAGAAACAGTGACTATGATACTGACGTCATCGGTGACAAGGAATATTGCCATTGGCGTTCAACTTTCTTCCATTTTTCCCGTTACAATATTTTGCGCAAGACATAAATATCACAATGTACAATAAAGTACAGCGTTTCAATGTTTCATAAAATTTTCGGGGCATTTTGTCTTTGTTCTTCGCTAAGAAAAGAACGTGTGAAAAAATAGTATTAATTAAAATAACAAAATAGCGGAGCACAAAAATTTAGCGAATCGCCATCCATGTAGGCACTTTAGACGTCATACTGTCATTGCTTCTTGCATATTATGTACGTTAAATCTTAGATGCGACGAGACATGGCTTTTAGAATGCTTAGTGCATCGCGACGCATCGGCCGGGGTGGATTAAATTTCTTTCTCTTTGCGAGCTTTGATGATGACTGCAATCACACATCGGATGCTATCCAATTCTCGAGACTGTCTTGCACGGTCACTTTGCTTTTCGTTGCCAGAAACGGTGAAAATCCCATCTCGGAATTTGTATCAATACAATACATTTCGCACTATCGATCATTGATGTGCAAGAGTCGACTACTTACGCAGTCTTGGCATTCATCGAACGCACTTACATGGCATATTCTCAGTTTTATGGTGACTCGTAATTCCTCCGTTTTATCGCGCGACTTTGATTTTTGGCAACGAAAAGAGTACGCAATTGAGAACGCTGTGTAAACGCCGAGGAGACTTGACTGCATTGCTGAATAACTTGGAGCCGCTTCTCGCGCCAAATTAGAAGATATGCATCTTTTGCAGTTTGCGATATAAGAAATTGAATCGAGTTTATAGTAGAATATTACGCCAAATAATGCGTACAAATATATTTTCAAGAGATAAGTCTGACTGAATTTTTGTCTTGATTTTGTTTTTTTATACATTTCTCGGTGCTACGTAGTTTGTCTTCATTTTTATACTTTCCTTTCCGCTTCTTTTACCATCCTGGCCGCATGCATTTTGAGATTAGCGCGAGACTCACAGCACTCGCCTCATTTAATTTGTAAGGCACGCAATATTCACTGATTGATGAAAAAAAATGAACGCATGCTGGAGCAGCCACTATTCTAGCCCGCCACCGGAGAGAGAACTCTGCGTCGACGGCGAGCATCGGAGTCGAAGGGACATGTCGCCTCAAGGACGTAAAAGAGCGGCCCTTATGATTTCTCGCGACCAGCCAGCTACCATCGGGTCCGGTTATCAGACATATCGTAAGGTAAGACGTTCGAGAAGGCATGCGCGCGTTCGGTTTTTAATTTCAATTCGAGCGTCAATGACGAAGGAGAAATTAATCGATAAATTATATGCGGAAGAGAAAAATATATTCACGAGAAATATTCGCGAAGCATATTTGGGTGCATTAAAATATGTCGATATCTCGTGCGTACAATTAAGTAATGTTTAGCGGTAATATTGTTATGCGTTATTAAATGCGTATCCCCAGGACGACATCCATCGGGGAATGATGGGGCATAGGTCACACAGTGCAGCGCCTATGGATTCTTCGAGCGTCAGATACCGAGGAAGATCTCAGAGTCCCACCGGTCATCGTTCCTTGTCTCCGCCTGAGCATAGATCCATTCCCTATTCGCATGGATACGTCCATACGCCGAGGTATGAAATATATCATTGGAAACTTTTCGATTCACTCATCGTCAGGTCGTTTGCAAGAGAGAACTGACAATGCGGATTTACCGCCGCGCTTATTTAGATTCGGCTCGAGATCGGCGACTGCCACTCCCACTGGATCGCCAAAGAAACGTCAGCTACCTCAAATCCCGGCAGCCTTGAAGGAAAGGGTCGCGCAAGATCTAGAAGAACGAGCGAGATTCATGAGACATCGTAACAGGCAGTCGATATACAGAAGCACAGGCATGGGAGGTGAGCTCGCTTCGATCTCTCTGTCGAAAAACTTGGTGCTTTAAGTGATCGATAACCTGTCTTACATAATACTTGCTATTTTACACTACTTTCGACTGAGAAAGAATATAAATAAATATGATATAACAATAAATATACAGGCTGTCTCAAAATTAAACGATCAAACTTTACTAGTATGTTGTATGGCTGGAAACAAGAAAAAAAATATAAATATTAGTTGAAAAATATTTTATTAGAAAGTTAGTACAATAAAACTATTAAACATGAAAATAATAGCGGATTCGTTGTTGATACATAACGATGCAAGAGTAAATTGACGATATTTATCTGTTTACTATGGCATTTTTTTATTATAATCTTTTTCTATTATAGCTCGATTTTTACCTGAAGAAAACTGTAAAAAAACGAAAGTTATATAAGAAATAATTTGTGACAAAAATGAATTGAGAAAGAGTTAGTTTAGTATTTACTGAGTTATACACCAAAACATAGACATAAAATTTGTAGAATATTAAATTCAATTTCTTAATGATATC